TCTTAGACTGGCCTAGATGAAAAGCTTCCATTTTTAGAAGGATTAGAATCAAAAGGATATTAGTCCTTAATTAGTTATGAAAAGTGTTTCTGCTTGCTAGTATAGTGGTCATTAGTGATAACGAAATGTGTCTTTTTTCTCCAAAATTATTTGTGTTTCTTGAAACTTCATAGTGTTAAATCAATTGACCTACTGATAATAACATACATGTTTTTGTTCTTGAATTTCCAACCTCGGTTATGAGGGAAATGAAGAAGAAAATTGGAGAATATATTGAATTGGTTTGGAGACTTTCAATTATCTTATCTCTATTTTTTGGAGTTAGGCTGTCACTCAAAGCATAACCATGTCTTTTCTCTCTAACGTTATAGCTAGAGTTTAGTTCTTGACTAGAAGAAAAGTATTCCCGTACAATCTCAGGGTTGTATTAGTTGACAGGGGCGGACCCAGCATGGGGGCAGCTGCCCCCCTCACCCCACCTCCACCATATATATAACCCCTGTATGTATATATGTATATATAGTACAAGTTTTAGTATATGTATAATAAAATAGATAAAAATTAACATTTAATGACTAGACCAAGTAGCAAGGCTTGCGTTTAGTTTTTGTAAGTGGCCAAGGTTCAAATCCTCAGTGTGTTGTGAGATTTATACACATATATATCACTTTTTTTTTTTTTATATTAATAATGAGATGTGTTTATAATGTATTTTTTATTCGAATTATTTTATCAAATTAATTATGTTTCATATTTTGTTATGAATATTTTTATAAAGTTTTGATGTGTTTTATTTTTCGTCCACATCCAACAATATTTATTCTATACATTTAAGTGTTTTATTTCACTTTTTTTTTATATAAATAATGAGATGTGTTTATAATGTATTTTTTATTCGAATTATTTTATCAAATTAATTATGTTTCATATTTTGTTATGAATATTTTTTATAAAGTTTTGATGTGTTTTTATTTTTCGTCCACATCCAACAATATTTATTCTATACTTTTAAGTGTTTTATTATTTTTTTTTATCAAACTATCTCTTTTGTTTTAATGCGTTTCGCCCTCATTGAACAAGTTTTCTGGGTCCGCCACTGTTAGTTGGTGCTTTCATTGAGAGTCGAGTGGTGCTTAAGATGGGGCCGAACCTCCTCTCATGAGCTAACTTTTTGGGGTGGAATTAGGGGTTTGACTTGAGTGTCGTATCATTATCTTAAACTTTGACTGTACTCCGCAACACTATCAAGTGCATTCTTTGATATCCAAAAGTGCAATCTCTCGAGTGCATTATACATAATATTGAATGCGCTTGTAGTTTTGATAAAATACACTTGTACATGCCAGAAAATGCACTTGGTATTGGTAATTTTACAAAGTGCGCATTCACAAGGGTAACCCCTAGCCAAGTTGGTCAGACAATTAATTTGATAACAACACATTAAAGTTCAAACTTCAAAGTTTCACTGCCTCTAGAAAATACCTATTGATGACTTTCTTAGTTTGAACTAATCAGCTATACTTTAATTTGTAAGTTGAGGCCCAAAGTGCTCTTCACTCAAAGCGTACATTCACACTTTGGCGTGATTTTTTATTTGAACACGCAATAAGAGTTTACATATTATGAATATTATTTATAAAATGAACATATTTAAATGTATACTCAAGTTAAATAATTACCAAAAGACTGATACGTAGTTTGTATCAACATATATAATTAAGCAATGAAAAAAAAAAAAAAACTAGCTCATGAGAGGAGGGATCGAGTCTCACCAGCGGCAGCGTAGGAGCAACCTCTCAAAGTGAGGGAAGTTTCTTGTGCGCAGTGAGCAAAGTTCTAGCCTCTGTGGTTCATGTTCAGTTGAGTTACCATGATTTACATCCTCTCAAATGTTCTGTCGGGTCGGAGTGTGGGGACCCTTAAAGTTGGAGTTCAGCCTTTTGGAAGAATGAAAAAAAAAAAAAAAAAGAGTACAAGTTTTTCTTAGTACAATTAGAGATGACCACGGTTCTGGTTCGAACCGTAGGTTCGAACTGGAACCGTGACTGTGCGAACCGAAACTGAACCGGAATCGTCCGTACGGTTCCGGTTCCGGTTAAGGTTCCGGTTAAGGTTTGTAAAATCTTGGAACCGGAACCGGCGGTTCCAGTTCCATACCGGAAAAAAATAAATATTATAGTGTTTTTAAAATTTTTTTTTTTTTAATAATCCGGTTAGAACCGGTGATTCTAATCGGAACCGCCGGTTCTGAACCGGAACTGGAACCGGAACCTTACTATAAGGTTCCGGTTCCGGTTTCGCCATCCACAGAACCGGAACCGGTAATTTCGAACCGGAATTGGAACCGTGGTCACCCCTAATTACAATCCAAAAAAAAAAAAAAGAAAGTTGCATTTCCTATGAACGAGGTTATCCATCTAGCTATATGGTTTGACCTAATTTCTTTAAACGAAGATATTGTGATTGGTGGATAAGCATGCCCCTCTATATGTTTAGTCTCTGTCTTAATTATCGTGCCTAATAGGTAGGAATTCCCCACCACTAACTTTGTTGGAGCTTAGCAACTAGGTACTATACACTTTGATTCCAATACAACATCAAAATTCAAAACGCATGTCAATAGGTTTTTACTTTTTATCATTCAATAATAATAACATTTTTATTTATAGTTATATATTTTGTATTAAGTCTTAAAATGACATAACTTGTGTGGTGTGAATGAGAAAAACAAACTGTGGAGAGAAGAAAATTTATTGTTATTTTACATTTGATTGTTTATTATTTTGAACTTTAATGTTGGCTATAGATTTGTGGCTTGTGAATTGTGGATTTTGGAGTTATGATTTTTGAATTTGTGGTTTATAACTTTTTGAGGATTATTAAGTTATTAGGGACTTGCACTTGCATTATGTTTTTTGATGAAATTTGGAAATGATGATTTAAATAGGAATTAATTATTTTACGTTTGATTGTTCTGCGACGGGATTGAATGCAATATTCGACCAAGCAGAAAAAGAATGGAAGACATTGATAGACCTACCATGCTCACGATCACGATATGGTTGATATGGAGATGGCGAAACAATAGCATCTTCAGAGGAGAAGCAATTGAGCCCAACAGAAAAATCGCCTGGGTGTTAGAAGCTGAGAAGGAGATCAAGCGTGCATTCAAGCGTCTGCATGCAATGAACTCCGACAGCCACAAACGAACGGCCATGAATCCTCATTGGACTCCATCCAACGGGCATATGTGGACCCTAAATGTTGACGCCAGTGTTAAACCATCGTCACAGAAGGCTGGATATGGGGACATCCTCAGAAGGGCTGATGGCGAATGGATGGGAGGCTTCTGTGGAAAGACTAGCTATGAGAATGCTGCCATCGTTGAAGCTGAAGCCATATCGAAGGGCCTCACCTGGGCTTGGAGAGATGACATTAGAGACGTTGAAATCCAGTCGGACGTCGAGAGAGTTATCAATGGGGTTTTGGGCAACTCACAACTGAGGGGTCCCATGTGCGAACATGTTGAGAATATTAGACATTGGCTAATGCAAAACTGGAAGGTGTCCTTCAAGAGTGTCATTTGTGAGCAAAATGAGTGTGCAGACGCTATTGCAAATATGGGCGCGAACATGGATGTGGACTGGTGTGGTCTTACATGGTGCCCCCCATAATAGAGGAGATGATTGGCAACGATCGCCTACGTGCGACTTGGTCTCGCAGTGAAAGGAACTAGATGCTACCCCTGGGTCCCCTCCTTACTGATCTAAAAAAAAAAAAAAAAAATTCTTATCATCATTATTTTAACTTATTAGGTTTAAAATGTTTAATGTATTTGGAATCACTACTACTTGACTTAAAGTGCTCACAACACATGAAATATGTATGGGAAAAAACTACCACTGCCAAATATCAACAGACGCTTGTAAGATAAAAAGTTCATAGGACAACTAAGATCCTAATCATATACATAAGGCAAATCCAAAGCTTCTTACACCATAATCTCATTGCATGACGTTGTCCTCTATGGTACCACCAGTAATTCAATTGCACATGACACACTACCAATAAAAAAGAAGAGTACAAGTACTGAAGAGGAAGACAATGACAATGCTACCCAAAATAGAATTACGAAGACTTAGAGAAATTCAAACAAGTAGTATTTATTTAGATTATTATTTTTACACTATCGTTTTTACAAAGTTACAAACATTTATTTTAATGACAATTATAATCAATCTTTCCTATACTATCTTGCATTCATATACTTTAAATTATATTGATTTAAATAAACAAATTCAACATTCAATTACCGTATAAATATCTCTTATATATCTTACATTAATATACTTTAAAATAAACATTAGGCATTATCTTATTTGACCTGCAAAACTACGTACAAATATGTATACATAAAGAGCCCGCACGGGTTTAGCTCAATAGTTCAGTGGGCAATATGTATACATAAAGAGCCCGCACGGGTTTAGCTCAATAGTTCAGTGGGCAATATTTGGAAGAAGAGACCAAGGTTCGAACCTTGGCGGAATTATGTTCAAAGTGAGCAGATTTCTTGTGCGTGCCCTTTCCGCTGAACCATTGAATCACACCGTAATTTACATCCTCCCAAATACTCTATCTATCGGGTTGGAAATTCAACCTTTTTGGAGAGAAATATATACATAAAGAAAAGAAAGTCCTAGTAAAATAACCCCTACGCTGCTTGCTTCTCGTGATCTAAAACTGGATTTCTCTCCCACTTTACAAGTTGCCCCGTAACAATCAATTTCAATTCACCCAAAAACACAGGGCAAAATGTAAAATCATTGAACAGCCTGTCCCATTCTAGTGGGCCCTACGTCGGCACAGACAAATGACAACTACTTAACATAAAATATCACTCATGACTCATCAAACCTGCTTTGTGGCCTCTAATGCTCCCACGTGTCACCACAAAACTCGTCAGCCATCAATATTTCCCCTTAAGATACATAGAGTAGATGCAATCTCTTCATTTCCATCTTGCCACTACTATACTCCTAAGCCATTTGTTTATTTCTATTCCTAGAGATTTCTTCTTTTAGATACTTGAGTCAATCAACCAAATATGGTTATTGCTAATTGCGGCGGTGGCGGTGATTCTGTTATTCATTCACGAGGTTTGCCTGGTAGTTGTGGTGGTAGTGATTCTGTTATTAACTCACGATGTTTGTCTGGCGGGTGGGGTGCGGCCGCCGCGGCGAAACCGTGCGACTATTGCAAGGTAGCTGTGGCGTTGGTGTTTTGTCGCGTGGACGCGATTTTTATGTGCCTTGAGTGTGACGCCAAGGTCCATGCTACTAACAAATTAGGGTCGAAGCATGCCCGTGTGTGGGTGTGTGAGGTTTGCGAGCACGCCCCGGCGGCGGTCACGTGCAAGGCTGATGCGGCGGCGCTATGTGTCACGTGTGACCGCGACATCCACTCGGCTAACCCTTTGGCTCAGCGCCACGAGCGTGTCCCCGTGGCCCCGTTCTATGACACGGCGGAGTCCGTGGTCAAGTCCACCGCCGCGACTCTCTTGGTTCCGATGAACGATTCCAACCCCCCGAACTTCGCCCATGACAATTTCGCCTCTGATCCCTGGACTTCTTCCGCTTCGATCACCTCCTCCAAGCTGCCGGAAAACGCCGCCGGCGGGATGAAATCTGCGGAATTCTCGCTCTTCGACTCCGACAACTTCCTCGATTTTGAGTACCCGGTTTCCTGGGAATCAAATTCTCATCAAAACCAGTACAATTCCGACAGGGTTGTCCCAATCCAGACCATCAAAACGTCCGCTCCAATCATACCCCAAGAAAAACATTTCGAGATCGATTTCACAAGATCCAACCTCACTTCCTACAACTCCGGATTCACCAAACCTTCCTTAAGTGTAATTCCTCATTCCTCCTACTCCTACTACCATGAATCTGCTTTAATTTCCCTTGCACTGAACCTGTTTGATAAAATGTCTCAATCCAGGTTTCCTCATCTTTAGACGTGGGAGTGGTCCCGGACGGGAGCTCTGTGTCGGAGATATCCTACCGGAACATCGGCGGCGGGAGCGTGGATTCCAGAGGCGGCTCGCAATGGAACGGAATGGATCGAGAGGCCCGGGTGCTGAGATACAGGGAGAAGAGGAAGAACAGAAAGTTCGAGAAGACGATACGCTACGCTTCCAGAAAGGCGTATGCGGAAACACGGCCACGAATCAAAGGCCGCTTTGCGAAGAGAACGGAGGTTGAATCAGAATCCGACATTGATACCTTGTTTTCATCGGCAGATTCTGCCGCTGATGTTGGTAGATTCAGCGTTGTTCCCTTGATATGGTAGGAATCAAGAAAACAATTGACATGTTTAAAAGTGTTTCTAGTGTACTATAGTTTTTCTTTCCTCTCTTTTTTATTCAAATTATTATGCAAATTATAATTAATTAATCCTCTATTTTAAGTTTGGAGGAGCGGTTGGAATATTCTATCACAGCTTAGCTCTAATCGCTTTTCAAAATATTATTTAAATGAATTATGAGTTGAGCAGTTAAAATGATATGTTGTCCTAATTACAAATATTTTGTTTGAAATTATAAGCGTTTGCTATACAAAATTGTAATATTATTTGTATAATTATTTTAATTTTACGATCACGATTCTAATTATTTCAAAATTACTGATCACAAGGGAAGTCTAAGTCTGCTATTTTAGATGAATAGTCTTAAATTAAATCTCCATTCCCATCTCATATGATATGTACTAGATAAGAAGATATACTATACTTTTGGGTTATAATTGTTGAAGGATTAAATTCTATGTTGGAAATTAATTTATTAATAATATATAGAATTTTAAAATTGATGTTATTACTTATTAGTATGTGGTTAATGTATGTCTTGGCCTCTTGGGTAGAGCACAGGATCTGTTTCTGAACTATAATTGGCCAATAAACATTTTAGGTCCCACAACTAAAATATAATAAAATATAAAAAAAAAGTTTATTTTAAGGAATTTAAGGCAATTGATTTATTGAATTCTTAGCAACTAGCAAATCTGTCTATATGTGGCACAGCATATCCAGTTGGAGTCTACTGAAATTAGGTTACCAAATTTTTAATAATTCCCAATTCTATAGAAACAAAATAATTGAGGGACTGAGAGGATAAACTTTTTTTCTTTTTTGAATGGATAAACTTTTAGTCCGTGTATATCACGTAAAACATAAATCATCTAATTATTTACTTAGATTTTTAGATGAGAAAAAACACATTTTTCTAATTATTATTATTTTTTAATATTATGTGTTTAAAATGCCCATTCACATTTGTGGCCAATTACAATTTATAAGGATGCATTTTCTCTCAATTAAAAGTATAAATTAATAGTTATGAATATTATATTCTTAACATATATTATGTGATCAGCTTTCAAGCTTAAAGATTGAATCCCGACGGATGAAAATCACGATGACTCAGTGCGCACAGGGGATCTGCCCATTTTAGACACATAATCCCCATATTGCCGCCGTCGAGATTTGAATTTTGATATTTTCTTTTAAATATTGCTTATTGAACTTACTGAACTAAACCCGTATAAAATTTAAAAAAAAAAATTTATGAACTTTATTTTACTAACAGCAAAATGGTATGAATTCAGCCTTGACTTGAGGCAATTGATTTTGCTAATAGATATTTATTTGTAAAAGTAGGTAAGGCTATATATAGGTACCTTTCAAGATATAAATATAAATAATGCTGCACTGGTCCCTCTGCCATCAAAGTAATCTTTTTCTGAAATTTGGTTGGCTTATCTTCTTTTTAATTTTGTCTTTTTTTTCTTTGACTTTTATAAATGGAGTAATAAATTAAGGGAATAAAGAAATGTGGAAATTATCAATTTAGTGCTAATTCCACCGGCCTGTTTAGTTATAAAAATGTTTCTACTTTTCCATTTTAAAAATTTAAAAACTTCTCATTTTCATTGAAAAAGCAAGAATCTTTTCAAACTAAATAATTTTTTAAATTGCCACCTAATGGTCACTATGATGGTATCTTGGTAACCATTTTAAATGGGTGGTCATAAGTTCAAACTCCGATAGTGAAAGCTTAGATTCTTTAGGCCGAAAATGATAACTTGAGAAAGTATATAACATATACTACCTTGTAAAGAATCATGAATGTTTCAATTTTTTTTTTTAAAATTCATAAAATATAAAATTATTTGGAATTTAATTATTTTCATTATTATATAAAATTACTAATTTGTGTAATAAATGAAAACAATATTGAATAGAGAGAAAGTAATAGTGGAAGCTAAGTAGGCAATTCCCAATCATTATATGGTAGATCATAATCTACTTTGTAAAGTAGATCACTGAGGTAAAATATAATTGTATTATACTAAAGATACATTTTTATTATACTAAAAATTTATTTTTTGAAAGTACATTAATTGAATACTGAATGTACAATATTTAGTAGTATACCAAATAATGTATCTTCACTATTCAAATAATGTAAAATTAGTATATTAAAAATGTAGATTTATTTAGGATTGTCCATAATATAATATGCCAGAAGTAGATGAGTTGTGATAAAATGTAGATACATTTGAGTAAAATTAGACAAATATAAGTGGGCGAACGCGATCGTAATGTGAGTAGACCTATATACTTTTATATTTCAAAATTTTGCAAAAGACATGCTCAAAATGTGTTCTCCAAACATAATTGATTTAGAAAATTGTATTTTCAATTTATAAAAACTAGTGAACTGAACTTTCTTATTAAATAGACTCTAGAATTTATTGATGATTAATTAGAGATTTTTTTTTTTGAATGTGATTAATCAGAGATTAACTTTAACGTTACCAGCACAAATACTAGAAAGTAAAATAGTGATCACAACCTCCTACCGATTTCTTAATCATTACACTACAAAAGATTTGTTAGGATGTGAGTATACTATCCATTATAGATGTATAGTGTAGGATTATTTTAAGAAAAATCTCGTACCTTAAGCAATTACCTCCTCATGAACATTGCTAATTGCTACCAAAAAATAATCGCAACATTAATGACAGTTCACTTCTATAAATATGAAGAATCTAAGGAAGAGGGGTGATTATTAAAAAAAAAAAAAGGGTGGTCCCTATTCAACATCTAATCCATATCCGCCTGTATAACAATATAACATGTCTAATACAGCAAAGATATATTCTTCTCAAAAGGTTGAATCCCCAATCCCAATGCACCCCACGCTCCAGCCTGACAGAGTATTTGGCAGAATGTAACTTAGCTGAATATAAAGGCTAGACCTTTACTTACTGTGGACAAGGAGCCCCCTCCACTTTGAGAGGTTGTTCCCACACTGTTACGAGTGAGACTCGATCTCTGGTCATTATTCCTAAAATTCACCCGTGTGACTAACTGAGTTGCCCATGCGGACTACACCAAAGATATATGTAACAGGCAACCACTGCATGTCTTCGCCAACCAACATTATATAGGTACTATTGGTACCTTAGTAATTTATAAAAATAGTAAGCGCAAATAAAATGTTCGGTTAAACTAAAATTTGAGTCTTATGTCACTCAGAAGAGAGCTAGTTTCTATGTTATACAATTCAAAAAAATTTTCCATAAAGGGAATTGTATCTATATATTGGTGCAAACCCACTTCTATTTTCCAATGTGGGAAAAAGGCTCCGTCAAAGCCTTCCCAACTCCATTTTTCTAACTTAAATGTGTACTTAGAATTAATTTCTTATTTACCCATTATTCGTTTCGAATGTATAATATATCAAATTAAATCTCTCACTTAGAAGAACATGAAACAACTTTCATTTGATCCAAATTCGAAGTAGACCCTACTCAAAATTATGCCTGAAAATGGTCATTTAATATGCCAATTAAAATAGCTAAATTTTTTTAAACATCTTTTACTTCCTCCTGTCAATCTATCATCGCACTCTAGAAATAGCATTCCTCCAGGCTAATCTATCAAGATTGCAATTACAATCTAATTAGGCGGGGTTCTTTTTATTTTTATTTTTATTTTTTAATTTTTTTTTAACAAAATTAATGAAATTTAAGGTTGTCTAGATTTCCGGTCCCTTGGTTCCTCAACAACTTATAAACTTTTATAGAAATTTCAACTTTAATCCTTACTTTCTATAATTGTATAAAAAATTATAATATAACCAATCAAAACTTGACAAAATTATTTAGTGTCTTGATCACCAAACAGACAACAGATTAGGTTGCATTTGGAATATATCAACCTTGAAAGCTAACTTTGAGAAAGAAATTAGTTCAAAGAACACACACACACACATATATATATAATATATATATATATATATATATATATATATATATATATATATATATATAAACAATTTAAAAATTTCTAGATAAATCTTAGTTTTTCTAGATGAATTTTAATTGTAGTTAAAGAACGAAGTTTCTAATGACGCGATTGATGATGGTCGTATTAAAGATTAAAAAGTATAGATTTGATATAGAAAATTGATTAAACAAAGGTATAGTAACTCTCGGAGATATTGAAGAGGCGTTTGTTGTGAGAATGGAATGATGTTAACGTTTGAAAAATAAGATTTGAGCAAACCAATAAATTTAAAGTTTTTGTTTGTCTTTTGGTTGCTATGCGCGACGAAAACTTGGGGGGCCGTTTTCACGACATTGGTGCACCACCAAATACCAATTATAGCACCCACACACGACAGGGCAGGCTCCACTTGACATGAAGTTGATGGCGGTCCCAATGCTCGTGAACTTCACGTGTGCCATGCCCCACCAATAAACCCTTGTCTTTTTTTTTTTTTTTTTTTTTTTTTTTTTTTTTTTTTTTAAATAAATTTTATATACGTAACATTGAAAAGACACCGTACCTATTATCTAAAATAAGAGAGACAGGACAATTACAGTCAAGGATGAGCAGGATTCGATTCGAATTGAACTAGACACCGTAAAAATTGAATTGAAATTATCGGACCGGTTGATTCTGGTTTCGAACAAAAAAAAAAAAAGAAGTAGGAAAGTTTTATTTTTAAGAAAAAAATGTTCTAATTGGCGGCTCAAATTAGAACTGTCAATTCTGATTTATCATTTCTTGGAACTGTGAACTGGTGGTTTAGAATTGGAAGCGAACTGCGATCATATCTAATCTCAGCTAAATTGATTGGATGGTTATCATGATAACCACAAGATTCTATGTTTGACTTATAGTAGAACGAAGTAGCCTATTGAGCTTCTTAGTATGTGTTGGATCGGTTAGTTTACTACATTGTGGTCCTTTGTCGATTGTGGTTACAAGACAAGGTTTACCTAATGAACACTCTCAGGTAATGGTTGCTTGACATTTATTTGTGAGTAAAATAATAGTCATTATTTATTAAAATGTCATTGATTTATATTATTATTATTATTTTTTGGTGATTTTTTTTAATGTATGTGTGTCCATGTA